AGTGAATCAAGGAAGAAGTCCTCGATTCGAACGTGAGAGAAATCAGAGAAAAAGTCTCTGATTGAAAAAGGCAAAATCACGGTGACGCGAAGCAAACCGCGATCAGACCAGTCAGACCACCGTGCCGAGTTACGATGCTCCCTCGCCTACAGAACAGAGGATGATCTCCACCGGCGCCAGCGTTCCCCCGTTAACTTCCCAACGCCCCGTCCTCAGAGAGGACTAGAGACGGATTACAAAGAAGTAGGATCTCCGTGACAGTTATGGCTTCGATGGGCACAGGCGAACCGGTCGCCCTTCCCACGGAGTGCATATCGGCAACATGGTACCGATCCGGACCCCACCATCATGATCTAATGAGTCGGTCACACTGTCGTGTACCTTGTTTTCCACCGACTATGTTCGGTAGTTAAACTAGTACGTCGCACGCCGAATTAACTTTGTGCGAATTTTTAGGTTTGTGAAGTGGACTGTATTTACTTGTGAAAATCAGTGTAGTGACTCGAAATATGTTCGATGCTCTCTATTTACTTGTTTGACTATTTGTTTCCAACTATGATTCTCGACTCCCTGGGCCTCCCAGAATCGTCTTCGACGACACCTCCGCAATGTCGTCTTCACGGGGGTGAAGACGTTCTGGTTGGCCCTTTTCGATCTAAAATGGTTGTGGAAGGGAGACACAGCCCCTTCCCTTCTGGTCTTCCTAGTTGCTAAAGTTAATAACTAATTCGTCCCGTTTGCAATCGCCGACCGTGGCAGGTAAAAAGCAAGAAACGCTTGGCCTTAGTAACACATGCTAACGGACGGGCAAGAGAGTTAAAAATACTGGTGACTGGACACCAGATGTAAACAATAGGCAAAGAAAATCTACAGCAATAATCGCGGGCCTTATGGGTTCAGGGATTTATGGCTGCCACGGTCCCTTCTCGTAATACCGTAAGGACGATTGCAAGTTGTGAACGGGACGAAGGCTCCTATTATTCCGAAAAAACTACCAAATGTACAATAAGCCTTAGAAAACATAAAAGGTGTATACAAACTAAAAAGTACGATGGTTCTAAGGGGTCGGAGGAAACGTTAAGGCTGTAAGTGGCCTTAACACACACCGAGGTACGAGAGCGGCAGAATGACTGATATGACGCGCGGCCCGATACACTTGCATGCATGGCTAAGTGAACCGGAAAGAGTGAACAAGCGGAATCATTTGAAAACTAAAGAATAATTACTCGTCATATTTATACAAGTTCGCAGCCATTGGCCTAACAGCATCCTCGATGGGAAGTACTCTTCGGCGATGCTGCTAATTTCCAGGTCTACCGCGTGGAGGTTGCTGCGGGGGGCCCTGGGAGGTGGGTGGAAAATTCATTTCCACCGACCTCCGTTTCTACGTCTAAGTCTTATCTTTAACACACTTATTTTTAACGCGCTTAATAATCCCACGGTGGCTGTTTTCTTTCTTGAGTCTGAAATGAAGTGTCCCACGGCGGATAATCGATGTCTTCTTTCGCACGCTTATTTCTAACTTACCATAGCCTTATCGGATAACTTAAATTACACAATCATCGCAGTAAAGGGAGTGAATCAAGGAAGAAGTCCTTGATTCGATCATCATTCGAATCAGAGAAGAAGTCTCTGATTCCACAAGAGCAAGATCAGGGATTACAATCTTAGTTCTAACTTAGTATAGCCTTAGACTATACATGGGTCGCAGTTGCCGAACAATTATCGGGCCAAAAACGGACACAAATACGAAGCAAGAAAGAAGTCCTTGATTCGTTTGAAACTAAAGAAATCAGAGAAGAAGTCTCTGATTAAAAAGCAGCAAATGAGAGTGACGCGAGCAATCCGTAGTCGAAGCAGTCAACAACCAGCGCGCGCCGAATCACGATGTCCTCGCCTACGGATCAGAGGATGGTCACGGACCAGCACCAGATTCCCATTAACTTCAGAATTCCGGAGAATTCGAAGTAGGATCCCGATACTGACTGCCGCGATGGACGATGGGCGCGAGCACCACCGCCCTACGGTGCGTACCACCGGTAACCTTTCAACTCAGACACCGATCTCAAACACGGCGGAACTGGCTGCTTTGACAAACGGCCGATTACTTGCACAACATGGCAACGTGAATCGGAATAAAGAGAGACAAGCGAATTGAAGTTAAAGGATAATTGCTCGACACGGTTTTACCCCCATTACTCTTTGCGAATCAACGTAACCCCTTCCTCTTTTCTTCGTTTCTCAACCGCGATCTCAAGTCTTGCTAATAATATTGAAATAACAACGATACAATTTATTTAAAAAATATCTCGATAAGGAATCAAAGATTGACAGACAGTTAAATTCTGTTTGAAATCTTCACCGCGAGTTTGACAGTTATTGTAAAGCGAGAGGTTAGTACAAAGTTTCTGCGAGATTATTCGGTTGTTAGTGACAATATATAATTATTGCACGTCTAGTTTTAAAACCGTACCCGGAAACGTGCGAGAACGACGACAAAAAACGACAGAATTCTTTCGCGAACGGCAACGAGAAAGGACAGAGGTCCTTCGCGAACGGTGACTCACGGTGAACTAATGAAATTTCAGAATGTTCATCGCTGATCGGCGATATTCGGCAATTTCCGGCAATTTCCGGCCTTGTTCGCTAGCGGTCCTTATTATTATTCTTTCGGATATATAATTGTAGGAAAAATTTGAGGAATTTTATGGGGTTTACCATTTCTGCGAAATGGACTGTGTACTTAATCCTATATGAAAAGGAAATTTCGAAGGACTAGCAGACAAGCTTATCAAATTCCTGGAATTAACCAACGATGGGTCACGTTCAGTGCGAAAATATTTGATGACGCACTGCTCATTGGAATTTATATTCTATCGCCATTTATTTAATCTTCTGTGGAATTTTAAGTAGCAGAAATTGAATCGTATATTCACCGACCCCCATAAATTCCTTTTCAAACTAAACTTACTTTGATCTCGGAAGCTATTGAACGTTGGTCTCATATTTACTAGGGTTTCTTTATTCGATCTAGACAGATGTACACGCCCTATCATTTGTGCGCGATAGTTTGGAGACACTCTGTATATAAAACGAAACTGATTAACTCGAGAAAGACCGAAAGATCGCAGGAAGATCGACTACCCGAGTTCAGCGACTGAATTTCCGGGTAACGTGGAACGAGAGAGAAATCATTCTGTGTCACATATCGATTCCAAGGGGCGACATAATTTATCGAAGTCAGGGATTATCGGTTCGCAAGCGGGAAGAAAGTCGTAAGAACGGAGACGCGCGTTTTCCCGTGGGGATTTCTCGCTTGGCTGTCATTGTCACCGAACGCGTCGCGTTAGTTGCATAATCAATGACAGTTTCGAGCGTTCATTGGGGTCGTTTGAACTTTCGAACCCGCGTCGCCGGCCTTTGTTGTCGCCGCGACCGGCGGGAAAGGGGAAGAAAAACGCGGATCGTTTCATGTGTCGGGGATTTATGCCGATCGATACCCGCCTCCGTCCGATACTGGGGCCGATACTAGTGTAGAATGAAAGATGGCGGTTATCAGGTGGGATTTAAGCGAACGCCGGGGCCAATAGGAAATTAAAAATCGTTTTATCGATACCATTCTGATGATATATTCGATCCGCCTGGAAATATCGGGGCTGGAGAAGAATGATTGAGGGCTAAGCCGATTCTGTCAAGAATTGATAGGTTTGCTGTTGAAATTAATTCTATGAATTAATTATTTTCGGGATTGTCGCGGCAATAACGAGAGAAGATCGAGCAATTATTCTTCTTCTGGCGACATTGGGAGTGAATGAATTAGCGCTTTGATATTTCAAGAGAGATAATGTTATTATGGAAATAACAAGGAAACTGCGAACCCTCCTGAATATTCAACAGTGTAGACAATGATTCATGGCAGGGATAATTAAATAGAATTTAACAGGGACTGCACTTGATACTAGAACAACCGACAACGGATTCCGTTAGAATATTTTGGGAAACGGAATGCTAGATGATCCTGTTATCTTCCAAGCGTTTACGCTACGTTAACTCGCTTGCGCGGATACTCTTTTGTTCCTTAATGAGCGAGAATAATTACAACTGGGTCATCATCCTCGGAGTATGTCGGAGTCGCAAAAATTTCAACGGAATCTTCTTTGTAACTTGAGACTCGTAACACGCGATTTACATACGGAATACGCACATCTTACGCTTGGAAGTCCAGATTTACGTTTTAATCCTATTTCGTTGCTTTTGGCGCGCGCCCCAGCAAATTAATGCGATTAATTTGCTTGTGAACGAGAGACCTAACGCGAAGAGATGCAAATAGCGCCGAGAATGATAATGAATTTCTAAGTGGCGTTCTCGCGATAATTTCGTCCCGCTGCTGATTAAGAGATTAGAATTTCGTCCTGGTCGAGTGTTCTTCCGGCAAGATTGTCTTTAACGTACTCGTTCAATATCAGATCACGATCCTTAACGGTTACAGTACGAAAACGTTATCGATATTTACTAATAGAAAATATTATCTATGGATGTACCAATAATTACACAATAATGTTCATTATATTCGTATCAAGAATAATTACATTTTCAATCAAATTAATAATCCACCGATGGAGTTTCGATTACGTTTACTCTGATTGTTCCATTCATTATAATTAATTGATATACTTATCGACGAATCCGTTGATAAAATCGTCGATAAATCTATTGTATAAGTTACCGATGTATTTGTCGATACCTTCGGTAGACTTTTCGATAGATACCGATATCATATTCCTCTTCTCCCTCTCTTTCCCTCCCGTATTTTCTTCTCAGTTACTTGTCACATAATTAGGTGTTTGCGAGGCGTCCTTAATGTCGCCGCCCCAACGAAAAGTTAACATCGGATGATCCCCGACGATCGTCGCGTGACTTAATTACTTTCTCCGGAGGGGTTGGCCAGCTTTGAAACAAGAACGCGTGATTACTTACTTTAATTACTCTTTTAATTACAGTACGACACAAGAACTCCCGGCCGTGGCGGCGGCGGCGGAGAGTACAACGTTCAGACGGGCTTCGGTTGGTCGAACGGCGTGATCTTCGAGTTCCTTCATACTTACCCCGAACTGCGGTATGAGAACAAGACGTTCTTCAAATAGTAGCAGGTACGAAATTAATATCTGATTTTCATTGTTCCAACTATATTATTGTTTCTCAAAGATTCGAAGAATTTTATACATTGCTCTGTGGAAATCGGCCTGAGAAGATTGGAGGGGTGGTTTATCATCAGCTAAAAAATTTATAGATATATAATGGAATATATACATTTTTTTATACATATATATATAGTATAATATATATATAAATACTATATATTATATACTATATTGTATAGAATATACTATACTATACTATGCTATATATATAAAAAAATTATATAGTATATACTATATTGTATAGAGTATACTATACTATACTATACTACTATAGTACATAGTATATATTATATAGGAGAACAGTCGAGGAAAATTATTTATCGTTGTTCGTGTCATCAGGATCTTAGACAATCACTTTTTATTTGATTGCCTAGATATAGCGTTTACTTGGATCATGATCGTAGTTTCCATAAAGAATTTGCTGAAAATATTATTCGGAGCATGCAACGACGTAATTAGTAGTCTATTCCAGCGTGTTTAGTACAATCGCGCGCTCCGCGAATGCGTAGAGTCGCATAGAATCTGCAATCTGCTCGAGGCTGGATGTAAACAGAGTATTCCGTATATTGATAGGAGTGGTTTGGCAGCACTTATTGGATCTTGATACATTCCTCGCATATTCGCAACGCTCCGATTCTCTTGGTTGCTCGTCTACACGGTGTACTGCTTGTCACGGGTCGATCATTGCAAAGAAAACTGCTTAAAATCTTTGAATCGGTTTCCAAAAACCATCAATAGAGTACAAGGGAAATAATCTCTGAAATTAGTGAAAGAGATTTTGATACATTTTTTGAGAACAGGATGAGAATAGTCTCGAAAATTTCTGAAACAATTTATGGAATGTCATCGAAAGTAATTTTAAGGAATTCTTCGTTAGTTTAAGGAGTCTTATTATTATCGTAACGTTACTTTTGTTTTCTAGGTTTTATTGACGGCTATGCAACGCGTATTTTCCAACGAATCTAGTCTATACGGAAAACAGGGCAACGCGTTTTATAAAACCCACCGTCACAGGTCCAATGCGAGTCGATCTATATCATAAGGAAATTACTGTGCCTCGATGTGTCTACGAATTGTGGTCGTCTGTTCGGTGAATCGGGATTCTTGTCTGCGTTAATGTAGGTACAGGTATTTCTCCGCTATCATTAATCGCTTACAAGCCGTCGATTATCATGTACAAGATCTTTTCGAGGTCTCTGCATTCATGCCGACTGTGTTAAGTGCCTATTGTCTGACTTTCGACAACTGTGTTCATCACTTGCCGATAATCGACTAAATTACGAAAGAGGAGCATACTTGTTCGATTAAAAATTAAACGGTCGCTGCGTTATCTTCTGCCAGCTTTTCTCCGATGATTAGAATAATTCTCTGATATTAGAATAATCAAATCTCTTGAAATTTGTACTTAATATTATAAGCTATTCAAAAACAACAAGGCCTTTTAAGCGTTAGATAGATTGCTAATGGCGTAGGTAGAAATAATTTTAGAGAAATTGTAAAACCTAAGTGATGAATTGTAAGTGACTCTCGAGTTGTCCATTCGTCAACGCGATTAACTTCGTAAAGTAGATGATAGAGAAAATCGATGGAATATAATTTAAATATCAACCGATCACTTTGGCGCTAATATCCAGGGGTATTAAAAAAGTTGTCACGCAACGGATTCCAACGCAGGCTTCAACTTTCGTGCAATATTCAAATTAATTTACTGAAAAACATACGCACGCCACGATCAAGTACAAACTTTAACAACGAAATTATTATCAACGTGTCAACGCTACAATCATTGAAATTCTTTCCATTTCCGTTTGCCATAGTAGCGTAAGTTCATTGTGGTCCATTCCATAGTTGATTTCCGTAGAAATGTTGAATTATACATTCCTCGTATATAGAAAACTGTGAAGGAAGTATACGGCAATTTTGTTGCGCACTTTTTTAACGTAGTCGAAGGAACATTGAGAGATCGAGTTGCAAATGGATCGCGAATCGACGAACGTCCAATCGTTCGGTCGAATTCAACGCGGTACACGTTGATGTACGAGCAGCGAGCACAAAGTATAATTTTCGCGTGTAACTCGTCAGTATTGTAATTTTAATAGCTAGTTGTTAAACGGTGTGTCGGCGCGATCTTTTTCGCACGTTCCCGGTGGTTCTGCAGGAAAAAAACGGCCTCCGACGTTCCCCCGTGTTCCCGGGGGAATTGTCACGGTGTTGAGTGTGAAAATATATATAGGGAGAGAATGTTGTTAAAGAAATCAATATATATTATGTATATTTTTATTATACTGTTAACGTGAATTCGACAAGAATAGCTAAGGAAAAACCGTGTGTGTATTACAAATAAAGAAGAGGGTATTTTATGATGGTTAAAAAACCATCTGATTCTTTCTCGAACCTGCTCTCCCGATTCCATGACTCCCGTTGCTATCTAACCTTACGTTCCATAATAATTTTAACACGTTCAGCGCCGGCCCCGCGATAATGCGGGATTTTTAATTTATCATTTAACCCTTTGCACTCGAAAGTATCTCACTAGAAATATTCAATATTCTTCGATGAGATACAAACGATGTTCTTTGAAACTAATTAACGAGGAAACATGTATAAATTAAGGAGGAAAGTTATTTTATTTCAATATTCCATATATTGATGCATCATACAAAGCTTGATATTATATATAAGACTTTATAATTTTGCAAATCAAATCAAGTGGTGACTGAGAGTCTCCTCTCGAGTGCAAAGGGTTAATTGCTACGTTCATGCAACATTTTAAATATGTACAACACAAATTCAAAGTAAAATTCACAAAATAGAATTCCTTATTCTCTTCTGTAAGTTAGAAATTTTGGTTTAATTGATGTTTAAAAATGTATCAATATAATCATTGATGATCCCGTTTCTAGTAGCTGAAGTTTAGCCGGCGTTCAATGTATTAAACTTGTTTTACTTTTAATTTAAATTTAATGTGTGCACATTTAGGACGTCGTCAAAGTGTAAGACGCTTAAGACAATGTTAGAAAGACACAAAAATGTTAGGAATCTGTCCGAGGGTGTTCATTGCACAATGTCTTGCCAGTTGCGAGGAGGAATGACACGTTCGAGGCGGAAGTGGTGGAACAGCTGGCCTCCAAAAACTTCAACTCTGGCCTGCCACTGCGTACCATGAAAAGCTTCGTTTTCCAAAGTTTCCACCGCATCCGAACGGAGAAGTTTCGATGGTCGTACAGAGAAAGAGATAAGAGGAAAGGTGGAAAGAGAGAGAGTGAGTGAGTGATGAGGAGGAGGGAGGAAGAGACAGGTAGTATCCATGCACCAGCATTTAAATTGAAGTTTCTTATAGTACTACCAGAATTATAGGTACACATACGTTTAACACCCTTTGTCCTACAATATCGTGCCAGACTTATGGTGAATATTTCATTTTGTGCAGTATTTAATTTATTTTTTATTCTACTCGTGAATATTCGTTAGTAATTCAGAAAGTCATTTATTAACCAGTCGATAACGTGTAGGGACTGATTTTTGTTTCATTGAAAGATTGTATTCTTTATGCACGAAGTATGCGCATAAAAATTTAATATTTAGGAAAAATTCATGTCAGGTCTATCCTAGTTTCGATGATAGAATAGTGTGACCATCTGCCCACAGTGTTTAGAAGCTGATCGAGTAGTTTGGCTGTTTTGCCACAGATGTCGACACTATTCACTATTTCTAGTAATATGTAGCATTTTATTAAAGGTTGAAACAATTTACGGTTGCCAATCAGTTGTTTACGAGAACATTGCAGCAGGAGAATTTTGTGAAGAGTGTAAATGGAATATTATTTGTACTGTTAACTAAGGACTGAATTGCTCTTACGATTTTTCAACCGGCGACATCTTTTGGATGCGAAGCATTAAATTGAGTACCATTATTGGTAAACACTTGCTAAGAGAATTAAATACGTTACCGACAAGGATCAACTGGACATTCAAAAAATTATCAGTACGATACATAATGCTTTCCCAAGGACGTGATATAAATGACTTTAATTATCTCTTGTTTCACGCAGTATCTAACATATCGTTGCTTTCATCAAATTACTCAAATTACTTGCAGACTGTGCATGTACCATCTCCATTATACTTCCGCGTCAAATTATACGTGTGGTACGTACGTCCGTTACATTTCATGCATTCTGTGTAACCACTATTCACATCTGGGCCAAATTTATAGCAATAATTCTTTCGAACGACGGACAAATTTAATTACACGTTTAATTTAACCAATAATATCCGCATGAATTAAATCGAATCATTGCACTCACGCGTGATACATAATTAAATATCATTGATTCATTTGATATGCGAAAGGAACTTGTTCACATTGACAATTAATAAATATGTTACTCCTGTTTACAAATCTATAAAAAATGTCTTGGTCCCAAATGATTAAAACTGTTACGAAACCTTTACACTCGATTACACTCGACATTCTTCATTTTACTTCTCATTATTGTTACTAATATTACATGCTGCTCGATACTTCGCTCGAAAAATGCACCGAGAAAAAAAACATATTCTCTCCGAAATACAATTCGATCGAAGGAAAGTTCTTATCCGATAAATTGCGCTACGGAGTGGCAAGAATATCGGGCGCAATAGAATTTTCACTCGCGCCATAATCCCATCGGGCATCGCAGTTAAACCCCGTACAATCTAATACCCGGGGAAATCTCGACCGACAGCTGAAACCGTACGAAAATCGTTCGTCGCGACTATTTTATACATCGCTGTTTGGTGCGCGCGCGCGCGAGATCGCCGCCTGTAATTTAACACAATTCCAGGCAATAAAATGAAATTGGAAAATGTAACAGTACCTTTCGATCCTCCGCGCTGACTTTGTAATAAGTAGCGGCCCCGTCAAATTGCAATTCAAGGGGTAAACTCTATCGAACGGAAAAATAAAACGTAACAAATTCAACGCCGTTTCGGTTATACTCAAAGAAAACCTGCAGTTTCATTCGAGTTTAAGACATGTAAATTTCTCTGCTGTCTATTGTTCTCCACAAATTTCCGAATAATCCTTGATCAGTTCCTGAAGCACCAGTCAAACACTTCCTATATAATTAATGCTGTCTCTGCAGATTAACATTTGACTACCAGATGTGTCAAATTGACTCGTTCTTACCTTCTTTCCGAATTATTAAACAGATAACGGGTGCTTCTCTGCGGAATTACTAATAAAATTGAAATTAAATAATACCAATAATAATAATAATAATAATAATAATAATAATAATAATAATAATAATAATAATAATAATAATGATGATGATGATGATGATGATGATGATGATGATGATGATGATGATGATGATGATAATAATAATAATAATATGAATAATAATTGGTATTACAATTGAAATTTAGTAATACTCAAACTGAATCATAAGCTAATTAAAATTTTAGTAGCTGTATTCTTAGAGTTCCTATAGAGCAATTTCGAAATGTTGATTTGACTGCTCGGTTGTAGTGTTAAAAACTGTGAAAAAAAGTTATAAATCTATCTATACAGTACTTATTATATAACTTAATTGCTTCAATCTCGTCACTAAATTTTCACGTGCTGCCACTGACTATAGTGTAAGATTATTCGTATAATCCCTAATAATCGGCAAAAATCATTCATTCTCTAAAGAGTTCACAAATAAAATTTGCCGCTCTCGTACACCAACGGGCCCATAACGGTACGTATTATTCGAATTCTCCATGCAACACCATAAACATCGGCTTCACTCGTGCCAGCTGTCATTCGTGGACGCACTGGCAAGTGAATCGAAAAGATATTCACACGCGTAAAATTCCATTCTCGTCCTGTTATTACGTGATAAAGTAGATCGAACGACGCGTTTGCTCGAATGTGCCGATCGAACAAGTTTAAAAAGGCGATATGGAACCGGAAACGTTAACAGCGCGACGATTCGATGGATTCCGCGGCGATCGAGGGTGAAAAATGTCCCAGGATATGAACGGTCTTCGCGGAATCTGTTATCGGGGATAATCGAACTATAAGAGCGGGATTGTTCGAGCGATTTACGTACACACGAAGTGTTACACGTTTTTTCTATTCTTTGAAACATTTAACCCTTTACACTCGAGAGGTCACTCGATTTGATTTGCAAAATTATAAAGTCTTATATATAATCTTAACTCTTTGCACTCGAGAGGCTCCTTCCAGTCGCCATTTTATTTGACTGAAGAAAATTTTAAAATTACAAATTCAATATTAAATTTTATACAATCTACGAACACATGGAATATCGAAATAAAATGGTTCTGTCACTTAATTTATGCAAGGTATTTCTTTATGTTAATTGCAAGAAATATCATTGACATTTCATCAGAAAGTAATGAATATTTATTGAGAAAAATACTCTCGAGTGCAAAGGATTAAGCTTTGTATGATGCATCAATATGTGGAATATTGAAATAAGATAACTATCCTCCTTAATTTATATATGTTTTCCTCATTAATTAATTTCGAAGAACATCGTCTATCTCATCGGAGAATATTGAATGTTTCTAGTGAAAAACTTTCGAGTGCAAAGGGTTAACATGTTCACTGCCACGGGAAACTCGAAAGTTTCGTATAACGTTCATTCTTTCGTAGTATAGGTGAATAGGAAGAATTATTAATTTATTTGTGTTAATCCCTTGCGGACGAATGTCGACATTTTAACGAGATGAAATGTTCATGTTTCGAGGACCAAGTCGCAAACAGATGATTTAATTATTCAAAGAGCGAGAGATCAACGCGTTTCCATTTCCTATATTAATTAAGCGGTTGATATAATTTAGCTTCGTCTGCTGAAGGTTTATAATTGTTTTCTAGCAGTTCAAACGCATCGAGTATCAGTGATTATAGCGGTCAGCCTGTTAATGACGCGAATAATATTACTAGCAAAATGTGGAGCTGAGAAAAATAACTGTAAAGCAGGTTGAACTCATTTAGAAATTAAAGAGAGGTTTCTGAACTTTACATTGGTAGTGACGCGCAGTCGTTAGTACTTTCTGTATCCAATTCCGCATTGAATAACCTTTCAGAAAGAGTCCGTAGAGATCCTCATTATTTCCGTGAGAGAAAACTTTTAAAATATTTCGCAACATTTTTCTAGCAAAATGTATGGACACGTTAGCAGAATACGCCGGTGTTCCATTTGTCGAAAATAAATCCGAGGCGGAAAAACTCCCGCAAAAACAGTGCCGAAAGTACTGTTATCACCGAAGCATATTCGCCCTTACATATTTTAACGGCATGCGTCACGGAAATAATATAATTATGAGCCGCGGTTGCTGCGACTCGTTTTTTAACGCAGCTATCCCCTCTTAAAGTATGAAACGGCTCGCCGTAATCGCGATAGCTGTGTAGGAAATTGAGGATTACCGGGAACAGTTGATACAAACGGTGTCGTAAAGTCTATGAAACGTGGCCGGGAAAATTTTTAATATAAGGGGACCGACTTGAACGCAACGTCGAATCGAACGTTTCATTTATCCCACGTTCATATATATTCTTACGTCTCAATCACCCCTTAACGGACATTGCACTAAGAAATTGTCGAGGTTGCAATTGGAATGAAATGAAAATTAATTGGATGTTTCCCATGATCTTTAAGCCGACACGTTGGATTAACACAGTGAACGCCGGCGAAATTTCAGCTACTAGAAACGGGAGTGTCGGTGATTATATTAATATATTTTTAAACATCGATAAGGAATTCGATTTTATCGTTTTAGTTTGGATTTGTGCTATACGTATCTAAAATATTACATTAAAATATAGGACTAGCAATTAAACGGTAGACTAAAATGTGTTAACCCTTTGCACTCGGAAATATTTCGTTAGCAATACTTAACATTTTCTAACTAGACAAAGACGGTGGTTTTTTTTAATGAATTCAAAGAAAAATCACAGATAAATTGAGAAACAAAGCTTTTTTATCCCAATATTTCGCGCACCGAAGCATTATACATAGTTCAATATTAAATATTAAATTTTCTAATTTTACTGCGTCCAATCAAATGGTGACTGAGAGTCACCTCTCGAGTGCAAAGGGTTAAAATCGCGACATCTGTGTTATCGGGAAATGTGATAGAAATCCATAGAGCTTTTATATGAAAATATTATCGTGTCGAGGTTTTAGATATTTCCTTGAATTCCGTCCATGTTCGGAGCGCCTTCGCGGCGAATTCCTTTTGTTTTACGGTCGGATCGGATACCGGGAAATGATTTGTCGAAATAATCCGACTGATTCCGTTCGACGAGAACGAGCGTCGCCGATATCGACGAATGAATAAAAGGAGACCGACCCGCAGCCCCGCGAGAGGATTTCATCCACTGTCCGAGGCGATTGGGATTCCGCGGCAAACGTGAATCGCGAAACATTTATTTTCCCCGAGTCCTGCGCATGGGGAAACTTTCCGGCGGAACGCGTTTTTTTATGCGGACTTCGTGAAGTCCCGCGGTGCCCTTCATTGTAAAAATGAAACTGCTGGAAACTTCGCGTCGAATACAATAAAGTTTATCGTATTTTATGCTCCGAACTGTTCAAGAACATTGGGAATATTCCGATGAAGGAACAACACTAGTAGAATGAAAATCTTTTTCATTTAGAGTGGAATAGATATTACAAATATTCGTTTGTCAATTACACAGTATGTTTCTTTTCAGACGATAATCAGTGAAGAAAAATAATTCATAATTCATGATTAATTAGTTTTTATTCATTTATTCGAATTATATTTACAGAGTAGTTTTCAGTGCTTCGTGTATGCAACTTTGTACAATATTAAGGCACTGATAGGAACGAGTTAATTACTGTACACAGTATATTACGTCTGTTCGAAATTATCAAAGGGTTTTCATCGTCGTTTCGTGCAGGTGTTAATAACGGAGCGGTGGCACACGATAAATCTCATTATTTCTCTGGCTTGTCGCCATTGTTATAGCCCAACTTGAAGAAATCTTTCAGCAGCACGTTGAACGTTACGGTAACAATACCCTCCACTTTCATGCGCGTGACTGCAATTATAAAGGGAGTTATGTATAAGACTGCCCCACGCACCGCGCCACAGGGAAACAGGTGCGCTTAGCATTCAGCGAGGATCTCTAGAAACGTCTACAGCACTAGACACCGCGGGAAATAAATTATTTTCGATCTAGAAGGGTTCCTTTCAATTTATCCGTTCCACTTTATCCCTTTACCTTCGACAAACTCGAAATTACGAAGCATTATCTTGACAGAAAGTCTTCTAACACTTTTAGTTCGTTTCACCATCATTCGCTTCTAGTTCCACGCGAAATTTCGATCACAAATTTTCGTTCGTTCTTTTTAAAGAAGCTTATCGAGCGTTACAAAGAATGTTCAAGTAATACATCCATGCTGACGCATTTCGGCGCTCGAATGACGCTACGCACAAGTCTCCAAGTTTTATTCTCATCCGATGCCCCCGATGCCATAGTAACTTTTTACAATGCACAGTTTCCAGAGCAAGATTCAGGAAAACAGGGTTATATTTTTTATTAGCGCGTGGGATGCGATTTCATTTCAGCGATCAATCCGCGGGATTCGTCAGTTCGCGTGGGATTGTAAAGAACAGAAAATATCTGCGCCGTTTCTTAATAGAAGAGAAAAGTGAAATAATATCTACGTTGTTAAGAGATGTATTGAAATGTTCATTTGTCTAAGTACCGAGTAATTCTAATTGGTTTCCGAAGATGAAGAGGGCGAAGATACTTCTGTACCGAATTTAACACTAAAACTACCGAGAATTTAATACGATTAATATGCAATTCCTATAAAAATTGTAACAATAGGTTATTTTCAGTTTCTTCAGACATTCATTATAGGACGCAAATGAAGCAACTTATTTTCAAAATCGTTTCGAATATCCAATGCTTCGAAGATATCCATAATTGCTAAACAAAAAAAATCGAAACCAGTCATTTTTACTGGTACGGTAGTTCTAGTGTTACGCTTTTCATAATGCATTAATATAGAAAATATTGAAATAAAATACCTTCGTTTTTTGACACTAGAACTACAGAGCATTTAATACGATAATCTCTATAAAAATTGTAAGAATAGATTATTTTCAGTTTCTTTGGATATTCATCGTACTACTCGAGTGAAAATATTCATTTTTAAAATCATTTCGAATATTCAATGCTTCGAAGATATCAATAATTGCTAAACAAAAAAATCGAAACCAGTCATTTTGACTGGTACGGTAGTTTTACTGTTAAATCGAAAATAAAGATTGGCATTTCGTCGAGGGAACAGATGAGTTTGAGGATGTAGATCGTTTCGATTGGAAAGATTACTAACAGGCCGTACGAAACATATCGAACGAGTCATGCTGGTCAGAATTTGACTGGCAGAATTGTTTGATTCAATTGGCTGTCCGCACGGAGTGTGCATGTTAATACAGCGGACATATCGGCTGTCCTAAATACGCTGAATCCCCGCGGGTTCAATTAATTCGACGTCAGCAGTATGTCACCGCGGGTAAATGAGAAATCGTTGAAAATATTGCCTTACGTTCTCTTCCGCTGTTAGAGGCCAATATCGCTGGATCAATTAGCTCTGGTCTTCGGCCGGTCAACCAGGCAGCGAATCGTTGTAACGTCGAGGAAGACTCTGGTACGTACACCGATACCCTGTTACATCGTGTTTTATACAAAAATGGACTGGAAATTGTACTTTACAATATCCTAAAATCATCAGCAAAATTTTATTCATTCTAATAACCTCTATCGAAGCAGCCCAAACAACTGATTAATATTTAGAAAAGCGACTGAAGTCCTTTAGAATTATTTTTCTAAGATTTTAACCCTTTGCGGACGAATGTCGGCATTTCGGCGAGACGAAATTTTCGTATTTGGAAGACAAATCGCAAATAAATGATTTAATTACTCGAACAGCAAGAGATCAGCACTTTTTTTCCTTTTTTTCTATTAATTAAGCAGTTGATATATAATTTAGTTCCATCTGCTAAAGGTTTTGTATGTTTCAAAGTATCTCCGACCGCAAAGGGTTAAGATTATATTTTATCAATACTCTAATGAAACTTCATATACAATTATAAAACAGAATATTCGAATTTGTTGGAATATACATTGTAATTTTTCTGGAGGAAATGTTAATACCTTTTCTCATGGTAACCTGTTCTCAATGGCAAATGGCACACTCCATATCCGCAGATAACGTCACGACCGAAAATGTCCATACCGTAAACCGACATGATTAATTGCGGCCCTAAGATATAAATTTCTTTAATCGTCGTACCGATACGAAACAAATTACGACGCGGTATATTTCAAACGTATCGAGAGTTAACAGCAAAAATCAGCGATTACGTTCAACTACTAAAACTAAAAGAATGATTTACTTAACTTTTACAATTATAAACAATTTTAATCTATTCCCTATTAACAAGGATTTGTCAGACAATTTCCGAACAACTTCCCTGTAATCCAATCGAAAATCGATAACGCAATCATTGAACTTACATCCGTGCGGATTGGTGCTTTTAAACGTGATTTCTAGAGGGAAATTCCAAACGGCGAGATTTCGCGGGTCGCTGCTGCACTTACACATCTGCGTCAGACCTTCCTCGATGCCCTAATAGAATTTTATAAGCCGACACCGGCGTGAGGTTAAAATTCACAGTGAAAACGGAGAGAGAGCGCGCGCGTGTACGCCAGCGAACAGCGTTGACTTGTAAAACGGGGGAACGAAGGGAAGAAATAAAAAAAGCAATGAACAACTCACGGCGACTACGGTCCATTCGGGGCCAAAATGAAATCCATACTTGCAGTAGACATTGTTCGCGTCGTAAAATTCCGCGTGCTCGATGGTACCCGTGATCGACAGGAAAAATTCGCCGTCGACCGACATCACTCGCTTCGAGAAAATAAAAAGAGATGAATCGGAAACGTTTAATATGATTCCTCGATGGAGGATTCTTGAAAAAGTCGAACGTAACAAGAGAAAATCTTAGTTTCTAGTGGAAGATTCTTAGTTTCTCGTGCCATTTATTTCGCGTCGGCACGGTTTGTGTACGATTGTGTGGACGCGTAGCCGTGGTAACGAAGCATGCGCCCCACTTTCATGCAACATATGGCGCTGGTAAAAACTTGAACGAACAGTAATGGGGATCTTTCGAAGCGTGACTTTCTTCTCGTATAGAGAACACGTGGTCGACGTTTATGTATCGTTGAAATAAATGACACTCCGTTTATGTCGTAGGGCATTTATCTCGAAGCTGCTGTTTAATTAGGAATGATAGGTATCCCTCGTAATTATTCAGCATCGATGTATGCTAATACTGCCATCTGCAACGTCATTTGAATCAGTCGATCAAAATTAATTTTGCGATTGACAGTATGCGGGTGAACGTGACTCAGACTGGGTAAATCATGGACGCCGCTGTCCCGAGAGAAATTCATTAATCGGCGAAGCTATTCCGAATGATATCAAAGAAAATTCATTGTAAATATTGTACGTCGAAGTGAATACATAATCCGAGCTTTAACCCTTTGCACTCGAGAGGTGACTCTGTCAACCCACTTGATTTGATTTGCAAAATTATAAAGTTTTATATATAATATCAAGCTTTGTATGATGCATCGAATAGTGGAATATTGAAATAAAATAATTTTCCTTCTTAATTTATATATGTTTCCTCATTAACACTAGAACTACCGAGCATTTAATACGATTCATATGCAATTCCTATAAAAATTGTAGCAATAGATTATTTTCAGTATCTTCAGGCATTCATTATAGTACTCAAATGAAACTATTCATATTCAAAATCATTTCGAATATTCAATGCTTCGAAGATATCAATAATTGCTAAACAAAAAAATTGAAACCAGTCATTCTGATTGGTACGGTAGTTCACGTGTTAATTAATTTCAAAGAACATCGTCTGTATCTCATCGAAGAATATTGAATATCAGTGAAAAACTTTCGAGTGCAAAGGGTTAATTTAGCAGCTTCATTAATACAGCAACTGAGACGATCGTGATCATAAGTGACTGAACGAAATATTGTATCGCAAATATTCATTTCGACTCACTAAAAATCAAACATTCCCCCATTCACAGGCCGCAATAAAATAAAAATACAACCATCATCGTTCTCGCTGCTCAACGTTTTATTGTTCCTCGGAGAATTAACAATAGATCTTACAATATACATAGATATCTCAGTCGTATCTAGAAAATCGTGAAATTACCAGAATTTTCATTCTACTCTACGAACGATATATACAGAAGACCGGAACGAGCAGAATCGAAGATTCGCTGGCAGGTGTCGGCGAGCGGATCGCGCGCGTTCTCGACGTGCCATCGGCGGGCGGGCTGTAACACGTATTTTAAAAATGGACACGTCTGGCACGTCCAATCCGCGCGCGCGGCGCCCTCTCGCCGTCTAATGAATGGAAATTTCCATTTCGATCGTCCAGCTTTATTTAGACGAACGAAACACAGTAACCGAATCGTGGTCGCGAGAAACGGGTCGGGGTGATCTATTAACGATCTAAATTCCATGCTACGATCAACGTGTACTAGAATCTTGGCTAGTTTCGTGTCTGTTACTTGGTTACGGTTCATCGTCGCGCGTCGACGATATACGCAATGGCAGGCGGTGTGTGTATCATTGAGGTATTGTCGCGGATATCGAAACGGACATTACGAAGCTCTAGCGGTCGATCGGTCGATCGATTTCGACCGATACCACCGATCGATCGCTTTCTATTAAGTCACCGATCTCAACGTTCTCGTGGTTCTCTTCGCGCCCTTCGAGAGACGTTCTTCTACGTGGGAGATTATGGTGTTTTTCGCGTTCCCTGGTTCGATTATCCTTATCGGCGTACTAGCTGTTCGTCGAACGGTGACGGTATTCAACTGTTCACTCGCGTTTATTTGCCCGCGGAGATCTCCTTCATACGGTTCAACGCGGATCCAGCCTTGAACCAGGTGATCTGCTGGTCGTTCATTGTGTGGTTCAGACTGATGGTATCGACCTTACCGTCTTTGTGCTTGATCTCTGCTTTTACCGGCTGGAAATTGAGGAATGACTTTGATCAGCGATTGCATTTCATTTTGGGAGAAACGTATGAGACGTAAAAGATTCAACTATTGCTTAACCAGTTAACTGTTTGACGATACACGTCGTCGTGAAGCTTGACACGATACTAATTCTTTCAGTGAATTCTTTATTTTATCACATAAACACGTAATTCTTCTTTGTTTCGCTTTGGTCTTTCATTAACTCTTTGCAGACAACTGTCGAAATTTCCGTATTTGGAAGACTAAGTTGTAGACAAATGATTTAGTCACTCGAACAGCAAGAGATCATCGCGAAGTTTCCTTTTGCTATATTAATTAAGCATTTGATATATAATTCAGCTCTATCTGCTGAAAGTCTTGTATATTTCAAAGAATCTTCGTCAACGGGTTAAAATATACTCTATGCGCATTCGTCCCGCGTTCGACGAGTACTCCATTTTTCGATTTTATTACGCGGAGAAGAGGTTTTTCCAACTAAATTCCACAGTTAATTGGTTAATGGAATAAATAAGAGTGTTTTAACTGTGACAGGGTTAACCCTTTGCGGACGAATGTCGACACTTCACCGAGCTGAAACTTTCATTGTAATACCAAGTTGCAAACGAATGATTCAACTACTCAGATAGTAAGGAATCAGTACACAGTTTCCTTATTCCCTATTGATCAAGCATTCAGTATCTAATTTCGCAGATTCTGCAGATGGTTCTCTATACTCTAAACAATCTTCGTCCAGAAAGAGTTAAATGTGATAAGATGATAATATTCTGTATTGAGTGATGGATATTATAGTTTTTCTATATTCCTTGTATCGTTCGAAATCGAACACGAGAAGTTTTCCAAATAAATTCCACAGTTAACTGGTTAAAATTCGAAGTAATTGGGAATGATCGTTACGTACCTTGCCAGGCGCGAGATCCTTCAGTCCAAGAAGACTGATCTTGTCGGTAGGCTGGATTTTGTCGTAGTCGCTGGCATTAGCGAACGTCAATGGCAACAGACCCTGTTTCTTCAAGTTGGTTTCATGGATACGCGCGAAACTCTTGACGATGATCGCGCGGCCGCCGAGATGTCGTGGTTCCAGAGCAGCGTGCTCCCGAGACGAACCTTCTCCGTAGTTTTCGTCGCCGACTGCCACCCACCTGACGCCATTTTTCTTGTAATCACGGGCTACGTCCGGTACAGCTCCCCATTGGCCGGTCAGTTGGTTCTTGATCTTGTTCATCTCGCCATTTTCAGAGTTGACGGCGCTAGAAATTTTGGTAGAAATGTTTCATGCATTTCTTTTACATACGAAGTACATTTTGATTGATGTTTCGATGAATAGAAAGTAAAATTAACCCTTAGCACTCCAGATGGTTTTGTAATCTATCAGCAACTGCAATTTTTATAGTATTCCTAGCGAAGATTAGAAATGCTATAACATTTCTTCGATCGTTTAGTTTCCTTCTTAGTAGAAAATTTGGATGTGAAATCTTTTCGTTTCTTTAAGATTCATTAAAATATTTCATATTATAACTGGTGCAATATTGAAGCCTACAGAGTTCAAAGGGTTAAGTGTGGAAGGTTAGTTGCCATTATAAATCAGAAAAATTCTATGGGAAATCTTATATTGAACGTTTACTTTTAGACAACGGAATAAGAACAGAAATTCGAAAAATAAATATGTTTTTCTAGACACGATGGCTTAAAGTTATCCATATACATAAAAATGAAATATTTTTGCAATTCAATTCAAGTGTTTGTAAATCAATTCATTAGAAGTTATATTTGCATGAGCGAATCAATTATAGTAGACTCGCCGAACTTACCCAATGAACATGTTGTTCGAGATGTTGTCCAAGTGGCCACGGTATTTGAGCCATGGACCGGCAGCTGAGATGTGATCCGTAGTACATTTGCCTTTGACTTTGATCAAGATCGTCATATCGGTGAGATCCTTGCCGTCCCATTTATCGAACGGCTCCAACAGCTGCAATCTCTGACTTTTCGGGTCAACGTCAACTTTGACTTTGCTGCCATCGGATGGTGGAGCGTCGTAGGTGTCCATGCCAGGGTCGAAACCACGGGATGGAAGTTCATCGCCTGAAAAATCGTCGTAGAGTGTTCAAACTCTCCTGTCAATTACCGTCAAGTCTATAAATCGTACCAGTAAATTGCTGAGAATTAAAGATTACATTAAATTTCGTAGAACTTGGAACTTCGTTAATTCTTTTTAAACTTACAAGACATAAACTAGCATGTTCAATTATTTTAAGCTTCTCTTGTAATCACACATAAATTTCCACAAATGAATGAAATTCGTTTCATCGCGTCGATGCTCAATGAATATTTTCCATTCAGACTAACCGTATTCTAACGCGCAGATCGTTGAGTTATAAACATTTCCTGTAACTCCGGTTTTTACGTTGCAACGAAAAAAGCACCATAAAAAAGTACACTAAGTATCAGCAGCTGACTCTACAAATCATTCTACGGATCAGTTGTAGTAAATGTCGCTTTATGGTAATGGTTCGAATGCAAGGCCACGTCCCGGAACTTAATTTCTAAACAAACAGTGCTTAGAACATTGTGCACGTATTAATAATAAACAGTATCGATCATTTCATTGACTATTCGTAATCCTTTGTACAACAGTATAATAAAGCCGCAGAAATATCAATGAAATTATTCAGTTTCCGAAACAAGAATCTTGTCTAGACATCTCCGAACAGAAATAGCCGATTTGATTCCCAATGTACCGTTGAATTTCATTTTCGACGTGTCGAAGGCTCGACGGACAGCATGCAAACGACGCAGACGTGTTACGAAAGAGATGTCTCGAACCGTGAGTCATGCATAATTGTCCAGAAATTAACGCGCGACGAGGAGCTATTATGTCTTTATTGTCGCCGACGATTCTCATCGAGTTCCCACGGCAATTAGGGGAAATTAACGAGACGTACCGTACGGATCCTTCAGAAGGAACTCTTTTCCGTCCGCGCCCTTAAGTTTGTCGGTGACAGGATTGAAGTCCAGTCGTCCAGCGATCGACAGAGCGGTGACGAGTTCAGGGCTGGTGACGAAAGCGTGCGTCGCTGGATTCGCGTCGTTTCTTCCCGTGAAATTACGGTTGTACGACGTCACGATCGTGTTCTTGTCGCCTTTCTTGATGTCCTGACGGTCCCACTGGCCAATGCAGGGACCGCACGCGTTCGCCAGAACGGTGCCGCCGAAATCTCGAAGGATTTTCGCCTAGAAACACGTAACACCATTTTAACCCTTAGCACTCCAGGTTGTTTTATATAATCTATCAGCAACTGCAACTAATTTTTATAGTATTCCTAGCGAAAATTATAAATGCTGGAACATTCCTTCGATCTTTTATTTTCCTTAGTACAAAATTTGGATGTGTGGAAAATCGAATAATTTTAGGGTAGTTTCTTTAAGATTCATTAAAATATTTCATATTATAAATGGTGCAATATTCGAGCCTACAGAGTTCAAAGGGTTAATAACTCATCGATTGATCGATGATCAATATACTTTGTCTCCTACGTGTCGTGCTTATAACTCTAATCTTCAAATTTATAATCCTAGAATATCAAAATTTCAGTTCAACGTTTGTTCTAGGTAAATCTTCAATAATTCGTCTATCTCTGAATAATTACTCTGTTTCTATATCTCTAACGAATCAATTCACTCGATACAAAATTCAAACGAATTTCGATTACAATTGAACTCCGATCGAAGAAAACATGAATCACCTCGAGTGGTGAAATGATCTATCATAATTGCCTTTCCGATAAAACATTCTTGGCTGATTCAATATCAATGTCAACTGACTCGTACTTAGAATAGACTTCGCTCTCAATAGATAAGGCAGTGAATTCGTAGCTAATCTCCTTTGTCGTAGGCTTGTCATCTCGCGTCTCAAGAATCTAGCGTTATAAATAACACGGAATAATAAAAGATCTCTTAAACAATCTAATTAAAGGATCCTCTAAGTGATCCTCGTCAGCTACATTCAAACAAATCCGCTCCAAGAATAATGACATTTCGAAATTACTATTATTTCCCGAGAGCATTGCGTAATTTGTTCATATAGTTCTCCCGAGAACGTCCCGGCAATTCCTCGAGTCCCTATTTTTCCATTTCGCACTGTCAAAATACATCGATCCGATCCAAATTAAGAAATTGGCGTGGGCCGTGCGGCTGCGACGCGCTTCGTTTCACCAACGGTTGGCACCAGATCAGACGCGCATCGCGGACTCGGTTCGCTTACTGTCCTTTCAACGCACGATACCGTGTCAGCATACTAAAAAGAAACTTACGATTCCATCGCGTTCGATGGTGGCGCGAATCTGCTCGGACCCTGGCGTGACATTGAAAGCGGATTTCGCTTTCAGCCCGTGTTCCAGCGCCTGTTTCGCGATGTTCGCGCACCGACCCATATCCTCATACGAGCTGTTCGTGCAGGAACCGATCAAGCCGACCTTGATCTCGTTTGGCCAACCGTTCTGCTTGGCAGTATTACCTGCACACAATTGTTAACTATTTAACAAACGCTCAAGCTTGAAACAACATTTTCCTTCGAAGCTTTTCATTCAGACAACTCGAGAAACTGAAATTGAAACTGACATTCGCTTCAAAACAAATGTTAATATAAATACTTGGGTTCAATTATCATTTGACCGATTGAGCCAAGGTCACTTCAAGGTTATTTCAAGGTCCTCTTCAGGTGGTTCTGTAGTTTTTATAACTTGTTGCATCGTTTCGTGATATAGTTAGTATAGGAATAAGTTTAATACAAAAGTATCATTCGAACTATCTCAATGATCAAGAATATATACAAACGACGCAATTCGATTCAAGTTAGATGCAATTTTTTCATTAAAAGAATCACTGTATCTCAGAGATACTATATTTTCTTCCATTGTCCCTATATCAGTCTACAACCGATATCTCTAATCTCGATCACGCGAAGATTAAAGATCTTGCGTAACATATCCGAACGACTTTCACCGACAGTAAATAACTCAATGAGACTTTACGAATGGATATCCCCAAGTGTTTATCAAAAGGAAAAACCCACACTCACCTAGCTTAGAGATCGGATGAGCGAGATCAGGAGTGAACGGTCCATTAACGTGAGGCTCAAGAGTGGAAAGGTCCAATTCGATGATTTGATCGTACTTAGCGTTAGCATCCGCCGTCAGAAGACTCTTTCTGTGCTGATCCGCGGCGGCAGCGATGTCAGCGCGACCGGTGGACTTCAGATAGTCTTGCATACGGAAGTTGTACGGGAAGATGGACGTGGTGGCACCGATTTCGGCGCCCATGTTGCAAATGGTCGCCATACCGGTGCAGCTGATGTTGTCGACGCCCGGTCCGAAGTATTCTACGATGGCACCAGTGCCTCCTTTTACAGTGAGGATGCCGGCAACCTTCAGGATGATGTCCTTAGGGCTGGTCCATCCCTTGAGCTCGCCGGTCAGCTTGACGCCGATCACTTTGGGGCACTTCAGCTCCCATGGAATGTTCGCCATCACATCCACCGCGTCGGCGCCACCGACGCCGATGCACAGGCAGCCTAATCCTCCACCGTTAGGCGTGTGAGAGTCGGTACCGATCATCAACAGGCCGGGGAACGCGTAATTCTCGAGGATGATCTGGTGAATGATGCCGGAGCCGGGGTTCCAGAAACCGACACCGTATTTCGCGCCGGCGGTCTTCAGGAAGTTGTAGACTTCCTTGTTGATGTCCTTCGCGCGTTTCAGATCCTTCTCCCCTCCCACTTGCGCCTCGATCAAGTGATCGCAGTGGATCGTGGAGGGCACGGCTACTTTTGGCAGTCCTGAGGAGGTTGATTAGAGGAGTTAACCCTTTGCACTCGGGAGGTGACTCTTAGTCACCACCGGATTTGATACAGTAAAACTATAGAATCTGATAGTTAATGTTGAACTTTGTATAATGCCTTGATACGTGAAATGTTAGAATAAAATAGCTTTGTTCCTCAATATACTGGCGATTTCTCTTCGACTTAATCTCGAAGAATATCGTCTTTGCCTCGTCGAAAAATGTTAAATATTAATGGTAAGAAACTTTCGAGGGTTAACATTAACATCGACAGTTAAGCGTGTTAACGAAAATTAACCCTGAGCACTCCAGGTTGTTAATCTATCAGCAACTGCAATTTTTATATCCTAGCGAAAATGAGATGTGGTGTAAAATTTCTTTGATCCTTTATTTTCCTTAGTACAAAATTTGGATGCGTGGAAAATCGAATAATTTTAGGGTAGTTTCTATAAGATTCATCGAAATATTTAATATTATGGTGCAATATTGGAGCCCACAGAGTTCAAAGGATTAGAAGCTAATGACGGTTGGATCTGTTGAATTCGGTTTGAAATCCTCATCGCGAGTCTGGCGATGTTATGAGACGAAATTAGAGCAACCGAACGAAAGGAAACGAAGCTCGATATAGGAAGTAATTTTGATATCGGTGTAACGCTGTTCAGAAAGCGAATGGACGACGTACCGGAACTGATGAACTGTAACATGGCCATCTGAGCCGTTGCATCCTGCATAGCCACGCGATCCGGGCGCAGCCTGAGGTAACTTGTGCCTCGCTGGATATCCTGTTTGTCGGGTTCATCGAGGTGAGAGTATAAAACCTTCTCGGAAAGGGTTAGTGGTCGGGTTAGCCTGCAAAGAGAATGTTTGGCCTGTGATTATGGAGGTATCTTATCATCTAATTGAACGTTACTTGATTCGGTGAAAGTTCGTAGATAATATGGTCATGTTATTGATAAGTTTTCGGTGTAAATTGGATGTTAAATTTATGAGAATTTCATTCATAAGATGTTAGCGGACTGGAAGAGTTAATTAAATACCTTCAGGACAATTGATAGGTATAATTAATTGGTTTAATGGTACAGTGATTTTTTCTGTTTACCTTTTCTTCACAATCTTAAGGTTCTCTTCCAACTTGTCGTAAGGGAGGTAACTCGTTTGGTCGAATTTGGACATCGCCACCTTCGCGGCGGCGAAGCTCAGCGGACTTACGCTGAAGCATCTTTGTTGGATGTCCGCCGCGAATACAGCGACCCTCTACAAATGAATATTATGTATTATTAATTCTACTCTGATCGGAGAAATAAGATGGGATTCATGAAACAAGAAATTATGATTTAGAGATACATTGTATCCCCTAGTTCAACGCTGAGATACTTTGATTTCATGGAAAATAACGAACAAGCCCCAAACGAAGTGGCAACAGATAATTAATCACATCGCTAACAATGGAAATTTTACGCATTATTCTTCGACGTGAAATACCACGGTTTAATTACCGTAGAAATTCGGAACAAACAAAAGATACCCGAGGATTCAGCGAAATCAGTTCCCGCAGACTAAACACATTATTGATAAAACACCTCGCAGCGTATCAGCTGTTCGTTAGCCTGTTTTTCAAACTCCCTTATCGTCGACGATGGAACCTTATCTTTTCGATATAGCTAATTGCATTGGAACTGTCAAGACAATAAACAATTGAAACAATATCTCCAGAACGGAGTGTCCAAGAAATACTAGAGATAGCCAAAGAATTCAGCTGTTTAATTCGCGATTGCACACGACTGCCGAGAAACTTACGAAAACGAACGAGCGGCACGATGAACTGTCCTTCCCCGAATTGACTTACGCGGAACAAGCGTGTTGCGCTCGTGAAGATTTTATTGACAGTGGAAGCACCCCGTCGGAGACTCATGAATACACATCGGTCGTAAATAATCCCGAGATCGGGGATGTAATTTTATTTATAGCCGGGTTACGAGACCAACGAGCAGAGCGGGAAAAAAGAGGAACAGTTCAAAAGGCACAATTAGCGGTATCGCAGATCGCGTAGGCGGTATTACGTTTCTGCATCGTGTCATGTGCTCTCGCCGCGTAGCTGTACGCGCAAACATTACGAAATGATGCATATACCTTCGCCTATATACATCGGCGGTTACGTAATCCGATAATTCGCGAGCATAAAATACTACTAACGACGTTGATTTTCCTAGTATCAACGAGATCTTTCTCGGAAACAAAGAGGCATACACGCGTATTTCCGAGAAAGAACACAATTTGCAGACGTGTCATTCACGAATTCCGTTTATCAACGACTTGGTCGTAGCAGTAACGAGCAGTGGTTATCGCTCTCAAATTAGCGGCGTTATCAACCGCCGTTTTTCGAGAGCAACGAAGGAAAAGTGGGATCGCGAGCAGCTGCACGCCCCGTTCGCACGCGCCGCACGCTCCCGACTTCTGCGCAATGCCCGATTCACATAACCTCGACGCCCTCCAAAAATGAACTCTCTAGATAGAACGGAACCCACCGAACAGGATTATGTAACGAGCAAAATAACATTTCGGGCATTCTCTCGTCGGCCGGATCGATTCGAAAGTCACCGTTTCCGCGAATCCGAGCGCTACTCCCGTCGCCGTTACGTTGTCGGCTTATTCCACTCCGAAATAACAATCATAATCAACCATCTTGAACGACGGAAACTCGAGAATCCTCTGACACATTGACAGCGAAGAAACGGAGAGCGGGAGAACGATGCGCAAAATGCGTGTCTCCATTTTGAATTCGACCCCTGTTGCCCGTTACCTTTCAACCGGTCGCACGTGAAAAATCAATAATTCGAGGGAACGTTGTGTCGTTCGTTAACGGTGTTAGAATCGGTTGAAATAACAACGGTTGACCTTGATAACGGGGTCAAGGGGTCAAATCGAGTACGGAGCGCAGCGAGTAAGTCCGCGGGTTCGAATTCGATTTCGATTAGAATATTCGACTAATTTGATTGAACTGAATACCTGGCCGCTAAGAATTCGAGTGCAGTAGGACATTGTCGGACGGTGCCTCCTTCGACGTTCTCTCCGCGGTGCCGAATTCGGTTTTGCGGTCCGGGGGGAAGCTCGCACGAAAAAAACGTGAATGTCAACGGGGGGAGGAAAGGGCGGCGAGTACGAACAGAGATAAAATTCTTTTTCTCGCGTGGCAGCCCTTCTCAAACCGGCCACTCGAGAACTGAGGAAATTTTGGCCTGTCTTCCTCGTGTCAATGCTTCGGCGGCCACGCATGCGCCTCGCCGCTCGATTTCGTGGGAACGACGCGATGGCGCCCTATCAGCCGTTATCTCCAAGAGAGAGAAAGAGAGAGCTAGCACGATCTGCGTTACCGGCGAGTGTCCGTGACGCTTTATCCTGCCTGGCAGAGTTCTGCAGCTCTGAAAGAGGTGTAGGGACCTGGTTAGCGTCGGCAAACTTCTGAAGCGGCGCTGTGGTCGGCGGTAAGACTCGGTTAGGTGGGCACCTAACCGGAGGATATTTCTCTCGAAGCTCTGAAGGGGGCATTCGATTCGTTTCCTTTTGAATTTCTTAACCCTTTGCGAAGATCGTTTAACTCTTTGCAGACGAATGTCGATATTCTGCTGAAATCAAAGTTCCATGTTTGGAATGCCAAGTTGCAAACAAACGATTTAACTATTCGAACAAGAAAACAGTGCATAGTTTCCTTATTCTCCACTATTAAGCTAGTTCAATGTCTAATTCAACAGAATCTGCAGAAACTTCTGTATACTTTAACCCTTTACAATTTTTGATCTCGGAAGGTCGAAATTCGCCTGCAAGGGTTGATTCGAGGGAGGGTTCAATTTCAAATCGTCTTTGCGAACGTTTTAGTAATGATATTTTTGTATTTAGTTTTTATTTTTGGCAATGAATATTTTGATAATTCAAGTACCATTTTTCTGATATTATCAAGCTGTTTGCAGACGAATTTCACAGTTGATAGAATCCCGCAGATAATAGAAAAAGGGAATGTGGTAATTAACGTATCATTATACGGACCTGGGTCAAATACCACCGTAGTAGGGCGCGTCTACTAAAACAGACGTTAAATATTTGACAAGATGCTTCCTAGTTTGATAAGAGCTGTGTTTGATAAGATGAAGAAGAAGTTACATCACGTTACGACATGCGCCACGCGCAACAGATTATGCGTATCTATTGTCGGGAATTACGCAGCTATTTCTAGACTTCGCTTATCTGTGACGTACGTTTCAAGCGCGCCGAATAATTTTTAGCAAAACGAGGAACGAAAGCGACGTTTCTCGACGATTTAATCGGACAAAATTGTTTGCCACGGATTACGTGACAGCGTTCATCCCCGCGATCTCGCGGTCTAATCTGATTGCCCGCCATAACAGGTCCGAAAAATGGCTGCACTTTGACTCCACTAACCTCTGACATGAAGTTATGGAACACGTGTATATACAAGGTGTCTGTGCAACTCTAATACTTACTTCAAACAGAAGACTCGTACAATGAAACTTTCGATACTCACTTTTCATTCATTCTTCTATAAACTACCTTCAACTTATTACTCAATAGACGCACTCATTTTTCAGGTCACAGATTATCTGCATATTTCGATATACAAATAAACGTCCAACTCCGACATTGATTCATTTAACCCTTTGCACTCGGGAGGTGACTCTCAGTCATCACCTGATTTGTTACAGTAAAACTATAGAATCTGATATTTAATGTTGAACTTTGCATAATGCCTTGATACGTGAAATATTCAAATAAAATAGCTTTGTTCCTCAATATACCGACGATTTCTCTTCGACTTAATCTCAAAGAATATCGTCTTTGCCTCGTCGAAAAATGTTAAATATTTCTAGTAAGAAACTTCCGAGTGCAAAGGGTTAAAAGTGAAATTCCGAATGAAGATTTGTCAGTTTATTCTCTGAGCATATTCTCCCAATATGAATTCGCTGGTATTCAAATTCGATCGTCGGTTCCAAGACACCCTGTATACTCGGCGCAAACGGAATCCGCGCGATAGGGGAATAAAAATGAAAGTGGAGTATGTGTCGCGGATGGAGGCGGCAGCGAACGATCTCGAGGAGTAAAGCTTGCGAATCGTCGCCGGGGAATTTCGGGATGCCGATCGTACCGATAGCCGGGTCCCTCAGCACTTTATCTCGGCAACGATACCGTAAACCGATTACGTCTGGCTTTGTATCATCGCGGAGGTCTTACTTTCGATCGAAATCCTTTAACACTACACTTTCGAGCCCGCCGCGGACCGCGATGATGAAAGTTCGATCAAAAGAATTCTCGCCGAGATCTTTTAAAAGCTGTGATTCACTTTTCGCTCGCGTTGTGCAACGCATAGAAGAATGAATTTACCGATCAAATACGAGAATGAATCGTTCATTTTATTCCTGTGTCCGCTTGCAACAACAAACGAACATTATTGCCGAAGGCCTGATCGCCGATTCCCATTTCCTTTCGCGTATCCTGGTTTCCATTGGGTGTAACGTCAATTCGATGTGAAACACCGTGCGCAATCGACTAGAAGATTTTCATTGGCATAATTTATTAATCTACCCGTTAATTGGTATCCTGCTTCTGTTTCGCTAATCGCGATCTCTCTCTCTCTCTCTCTTGCGCAATCCGTTTGTTTTTTAGTGCTTGTCCAATGGCGATCAATTTTTCTTGTACACCTCGCTGTAATTACTTCGCCGCATAATTTTAACTGTTTCCCATAATTAACTACAATTGCGTTAATTAGACTAACGCCTAATGTATTCGATAAATTATTTATTCGTTAGATTATAATTATATCCTTACTCCTTCGTATCTGTTTGCTCAAGGGACATTTATTTTTCAATGAAGTCAATGGGAAATATTTGAAATTTTCCATACAAAAATTTCAGTTCTCTGTTAATCATTGTAAATATTATTCAACTGTGTTTCACCTTGAGAAAAAAGAGTGGAAAACCCACCGGAAAGTGGATGAAACAGGTAAACACGTAGCTCGTTAGAAACGGGCGATTAGATTCGCCTTAGCGGCCAGTTGTCTAATTACTTTAGTCAAGCGAGGTTAATTGCTCCTCCTTCGAGGGATTATCGGTTGACTCATTGGCGATGCCAGGGATCGATAGGAAGAAAAGTTCCTTCCTATTCGATCCGCGGAAAATCACACGCAGCGATCGAGTTTCTTAGCCGTGGTCTTACGACTAAAATAAAGGATATGGTCATTGCTCCACGTTGCACTGTCGCGAGATGAAACAGCGTCGCGATCGAACTGACCTAATCGATCGATCATTATTTCTACTCCATTACGCGATCGAAGGATCGGGCTATTCTTCATCGGTGCGTTACTTGTTCGACGTGTGAGTCGATTATGGACGATGATCTAAATATTTTACCATAGAATCAGTGCAGGTGGCTCGTGTCGGAGAAGAGGCGTGTAATTGTTTTCTGGGAAACTTGGGAAGAATAAGGACATCGATTCTTGGTAGTGTGAAGTCAATAATCTGGACCTCGAGGGTTAATTGTTCTACATACGTTGGACATGAATTAATCCTTTCTAAAGGTGTTCGTAGCACCATTTTTGTCACAACGTTGCCATCGACAAACATACTTACCTTTTCGAATGTCGACATGTCGACATTTCGGCGAGATAAAACGTTCATATTTGGAAGACTAAGTCGCAGGCAAATGATTTAATTACTCGGCAGCAAGAGATTAGCATATAGTTTCTGCTTTTGCTATCATTTAAGCAAGTAATGTATAATTTAGCTTCATATGTTGAAGGTTTTGTACGTTTCAAAGAATCTTCGTCCGCAAAGGGTTAAACACAGTGACATATGCAATTACATCATCACTTTGACTGCCACGTCACCCGAATTCGGGTAACATTATTTTTTACAGAAACTTGGACATTGATTCTTTTGATGACGTACCGAACAAACCGAATTTTGTTGGATACATGAAATATAAGAAACATAGTGGATCAATTATTAAGAAGAATTTTAATTTCTCAGTTTCTGGTTAGTGGAAAAAACTGTTTCGAGTACATGGTAGTTTTGATGAGTGTTTACG